ATTTAGAGTATTAGAAGTGTGCATAAGTGTGGCCCAGCTCAAAGTGTATAGACTTTGCATCCATATTTAAGGGAACAAGCTCACTTTTCCTCAGTTGTACTTTGTGTATGGTCGGTTGGTGTTTGATAATGATACATAAGACTTTAGAGGGTATTTAGGGCCAAGTATTACTTGTTTTATACACATACTTCAACAATCATAAAGGAGGGCAAAGGTGGCACACATGTGCTTTAGGGGTGTAAGAGCTTTTGGATGAAAATTCACAAAGATGTATGTGATTAGGATCTTGATATATTGAGACCAAGACCAAGACTGAGACTGAGTCTAAGGGTGAAAGCCCAAAGCAATTATCTCCCAAACCTTGAGAGGTTTGGTGACCAAGACCAAGTTTGAGTCTTAGTTCGAGGGTGAAAGCCCAAAACAATTGCCTCCTAAACCCTAGGGGGTTTCGTGAGCTTTAAAAATATAATAGGGGGAAGACTCTAGTGGAGCTAGTTTGGCCAGAAAAGGCTAATGTGACCAAGGAAGGCTATACCCATATATTGAATGATGATATAACCACTGAGGAATTTAAGGTTAGAGTGAATATTGATAAACAAGCAGGGTAACTTGGTGAAGTGTTCAAGAGCCGGCTTCAACTCTATCGGGAGATCAAATGGTTGATGCTCCCAATTTAAGTGTAGCTGGCACTCCTATTTGGATACCTAGTATTCTAGCCATATGGCTAGGGCACCTAAGGACATGCACTCACTTCTTCATTCATTGCAAATCCATTCATTCACAAAGTGTTTTTAATTACCCTCACCAAAAAGAGTGTTTCAAGCATATAGTGATGGCAAGTTTAGCCTATAACATTTGAAAACATTTAGTTCACATGCAGAAAAATGTTACACCTGCAAGCCCCAACCCAAAATCTAAATTCTATTGAAGTGTCATAAAATATAACATGGAATCAAAATTTATGCAGCACAAAAAATCACATATGTAACACTAACTCCATGCATACATAATAGCCATCAATGCATGCATAAAATAAAACAAAATTGTGTTTAAAATATTATTTTATAAGTCACAAATATGTATTTTATTTTATATATCTTGTAGGCTTGATAATTTTTTGCCAAGCCAACCACCCCATGTATGCCTCACTCTTGGGAGGGGTATTATAAATTGCTTGCTATACCCCTTAAGTATATCTTATATAATGAATTTATTAATGATATAATCTCAATGCATTTTGAATAATCTCAATAATTTATGATTTATAAGAAATCTACAGCATGATGAGATTCAAAATTTTGATAGAATTTTAATCTTCCAAATTTTTATTATTAAATAAATTTAATAGAGAACTCGATCATCTATTGTGCTTTATAAATTTCATTTGTGTTGTTTATGAAATCAAATCCCTCAAGACTTCCAGGCCAACTCCATCACATAAACTACACATCTTCTCACATCCAAGTGCTCTCTGTAAACAATCCAAGCTACATGTTCTTCCCAGGAGGACCTTGATCAATGATAGGCTTGTGGGACATGAATTAATCATCACATTCTGAGCAAGAGTCAATACAAAGTGCAATTAGGTGAGATCCCAAACCATGGTAAAACAAGGTTTCTAGAGAGTAGCCTTTGGGCTGAACTCCAGACAAATATCAAAACTGGGCTAGATAATGGTGGTTGTTCTTAGTGAAGAGTCAGAAGGTAAAGAGCTTTTGTCATATCTTATACCATGTGAAGAGGGCAAGCATGATCATCAAAGAACACGTTAACAAGTTTTGGATGGAAGTTGAAGGCTAATCTGATTGTAGAAAAGGCCATGTTCACTGCTGTCTTTAGCTTGTTCTTAAGCATCTCAGACGAGGAGGAGGAGAGGGAGCTCTAGACAACTGTTGGACCAGTGAGATGTTTTTAAGAGGTACATAAGTGAGAAAGATCAAACTAATGACATGCCCTTTTCTCAGTGTTCTCTTGACAACCAAGGGAGAGGATGGAGAGGTTATGACAGAGGAAGAGATCAAGTTAAACATTCTCATATTGATCATGTCAGCCCATCTGCCATGAGCTCTTTGACGAGTTCTGGAGAAAATGTATGATGCTACAGTCCACTTAGAAAAGGGGTTCTTCCACAACTAGCAAAAGATTCTGGTATCTAAACTTATGCATTAAAAGCTATCTAATATGATTGTGTATTTTGTACTCACTATCTCGTGGCTTTCGAACATTACCACCACAAAAACTTTAACAGCGACTGCTATGCACTTGTTTTTAACTGCGAATATACCAAAATAACCAGCACGCATGCAAAGCATCTGAGACGTCCAGGCTAGGGCCGACCTTAGGGCAGAATGGCGAGAAGGATCCTACAGCGCGTTGCCGAAGCTGAGAACCTGTTCTACAACAGGAAGGTGGAGCTGGATGGTCTGGCGAAGCTCTGCAAGAGAGGTAGTATGGTGCTGATCACTGGTCCACCAGACTCGGGGAAGTCCGTTCTCGTGTCAGAGTTTGCGAGGAGGCAGGAGGTAACTGGCCAAGGCCATCCTATCTACATCAACATGAGGGCCGGAACATTCAGCACTGCAGCCAGCTTTGCGAGGGAGCTCAAGTCTCAGATGAGTCCCTTTCTGGCAGCAGCGGCTGAGTTTGCCAAGAACATCCCCAAAGTCGGTGATTCAAAGGTAGACGCTTTTGCCGGCGTTGTTGGAGCGTCTGCAGGTGCGCTAAGCGCACACATTCAAGCTGTGGAGCGCACTCCGGATACAGACTTGCCGGCTTTATTGAAAAGCATCCACGGCCTCCTATTCTCTTGGAGAACAAGAGCACGACGATTTATGCCTGGCAAAGACGGGGGCTTCCCGACCTTGATCATTGACGAGGCAAACAGACTCCACGAGTGGAGCCTCTCACCGGAGGAGCTAGAACACCTGAGGACCTTGATCGCATATTTCATCATGGTTACGAAAGAGCGCCAGGAGGCCAATGTGATTCTCTGCACCTCAGAAGACTTCTTTAAATTCTGGCTTGACTTGTGTGTTGGCGCTGAAAGGTATCAGTTGAGGGTGGTTGGTGACCTTACTGAGGAGCAGGCTCGGGAATTTTTCCTGATGGCAGTCCGTGACGGTTGGGGTGCTGATGGATACAAGTTTCCAGAGGATTTGTGGAAGAAGATGTTTTCTTTTGTTGGTGGAAGAACGTTGCTCTTGAAGAGGCTGGCGGAGAATCTGACTTGGTATCTGGAGGACGAGTCTCTCTTACGAAAAGCATGGGCGTCCGAGTGCAAGATACTGGCGGATGCAACTCGCCTTGACGTTGAAAAGGGCTTCAAACCTATGGAGGTTCAAAGCAAATGGAATATGGAAGAACCGGGCTGGAGCGTCAAAGAGTACGAAGGAGTGTTGACGGAACTGTCACGGGCTGAGGGTGGTGTCGTCTCTGTGCAGTACCTCATCGATTCCAAAGTCATTTCGAGGGTGGCTCTCCACAGCTTGGTGCAGCACAACTTCCTGCACTATCGTTCTTCCTTGTGTCCGTGGGCGGACGACTTGGCATGGTACAAAGGAAAGTGGCCTATTGTCATGGCCCCGTCCCTTCCGCGTCTCCATGCTATGGCGTCAATCATAGAGGTAAGGCGCTGCTGTTTTAACTTTTCTACGACTTGACAACGTGTGTTTACACAGGAACGGGGGGCCGGAGCTGATACTGGTGCTACGCAATAGGTATAATGCGCAAATGTTCCCTTTGAAGGTTAATATGGTCTAATATGAGTGAATGCATGAATATAGTATATTTGAATGAATGAGTTTGATGTTGTAAATGTGTTCAAATGCTGTGGTCGTGTGCTCTTCAGAAAGCTGGAGAGCTTTGCCAGAGACGGAAACAGTATGCATGATGTAGATAGCGTCCTAAGCATTTCTTGATTTAACTTTTTAGATGCTATTTTTTTCACATAAACATTCGTTAATAATAATTTTTTGTAAACATTAAATTATGAAACTATGCCATTATGAAGGAGTTCCTAGCGTGTTCTAAGGAATTCCTTTAATGGGTTGTGCGCAAGATTGTTAATGGATATATAGGGCTACTAATTGCCAGGTTCTCACAGTGGATGTGACATTCGTACACACACGCCTGATAAGGTTGTCGAGTGTAAAATACAAAAAACTTCTATGCGTTTCAAGTAAGTAAGAGTGCAAGTATAATATTGAAAGGCAGACTTTATACTTGATCTTCAGCTATAGAAGATACCAGCTTATACAAAAAAGAAAATGTGGGAAGCAAATTCCAATTGAGTAAGATGGTGATGATAGCACTCATTCGTTAGGTGATGAAGGGCAACAAAATATATAAGGTGCTTCAAGTTGATGTGAAAGATCTTGAAGATAGATTTAAACTTAAAAGATTTCCAATTCATGCTAGATAGAAAAAGATTAGAGGTCATCCTGATTACTTGTAGAATGTGTAGAAATCATGTACTTGCTACAAACTTTATTTGAGTCCACACCTTGTGAGCATAATTTTGATTGTAATATGAAAAGTTGAAAATTCTTCCTGAGTTCCAAAACAAGGTGGCTGTCAATCACAACCGCGACGAACTGTGTTGTTTGTGAAGACTGGGCGTGAAAATCTCATGAGAAGACCTATAAGGATACAATGAATTGACAGGCAATGGTTTTGCTCTTTCCTTCGTTGGCTCGCCATGTACGAGTATTTATTTTCCACATGCGTTGCTTCTATGATTTAGATTCCCAGGATTAGGAAGATGCCGTGGCTATTGTAGTGGAGGCCACGGGAGGTGTCCTGTGGCATTGGATTATTTCATTCTATTTTCTTCACGTCCGAGGTTTAGCAAAACTACAATGGCTAAAATCGTTGTCTTGATGTTTAAGTTCCTTTTAGTTGCATGAATAAGTATACTTTTTTCCTTTCATAGCTGGCCATTTGGCTGTAGTTCGCCAACCGCGATCTACTCATTGATTTAGACGATGGCGGACACGAGGACAAGGAGGGACTCCTATATTGTTTCAAACAGGAAGAACATCGCGTGACAAGGAGCTGTTTCATCTTTGACCATGGAGCAAACAAAACCTTCAAACGTTTGTACTTACAATCCATCAAATCGATGGTGAAAACCAAAACGAGCAGCAGGAATATGAGGCATTGATTCGGGTGGAAGAAGCTTTTTAAGCGGGAGCTCCAAGAGCGGCACCAGATTTTCGGACCACCTCTGCTGCTCTCACCAGAAGTTCCTGCTCCAGGGCCAACACTTCGCGTTTGTTCTGCCATCAAGGAAACAAGGATGTCAACTAGAAGCTTGGGCAAGGAGATCATTTGAGTTGGCTCACTAACCAAAGATTGGATGTCGCAAGAGAATGTGAGCTCGAGATGAGTCGGGGCCGTCTTGGAGAGGTAGCAAAGAGGGCTATCCTGTTCGGACAAGATCTTGGGATGAGTCTTGAGGAGCTCTACGACCTCGTCTGTGATCACGGGAACCTTGTCGATGTCCGAGCACCGGATGTAAATCCGCGACTTAATTGCCTGCTTTGGACAGCGAGACTTGTTGACAATCACCTAGAAGAAGGCCAGTATTGTTTAGCGAACCAACAGGCAGAGAAACAAACCTGGCTGGAGAAGAACGAGTTTGGAACCATCATGGGAATCTTGTCTGTGTTCAACAGCGTTGTCGAATGGAGTCCCATTTTGACGATCTGTCCGTCGATGTTTCCAGCCTGCAAGGAGCTCTCGTGTTACAAGAAACGGAGCCAAAAAGAGTGCAACTTACGGTGATATAATCCCCCACGGAGAATGGCTTGATGAACTGGAGAATTATACCACTCAGTGCATTTCCAAGAACGTCACGGGCTGCGAATGCTGTTGCTATACCTGCGTGTCACAGGAAACTTGAGTTAGAAGGTTGGCATAGAAACGAGGAAAGACTTATAGTACTCTAACAACTCACCTCCAATCCCTCCGACGGTCAGAACAGATTGGAGGGGAACGCCAGATGCCTCAGCCAGAGCCATGGCTCCCAGCACAATTATACCAATCGATGAAACCTTGTCCAAGACCAGATAACGCTCGAGCTCCTCCTTGCTAGACGCCTTTCCGACGAGGAGGCGAGAGAAAAATACACTCTTCCATCTGTGGAGGAACCACAGCCCGCTGAGCAATAGTCCTCCTCGCCACGCCAGTTCCAAATGGGATACGACGGTGGTCGGTGCGACCAGTGCTCCCCTGAACAGAAAAAATCGAGTCCCTCAACAAGATCAAGCAAAAGAAAACAACTTACAGCTGAGAGAAGGCTACGAGCGTGAGGAAAAGGCGCGTTGGATCTTCCAGTGCTGCCCACATACTCATCTCGTACGGGTGTTTCTCCGACTTTCCAAGCAAACTAGTCGTAGGCCCTTCCTCCACGTACTTGTGGAGCCGACGAAGAACTCTCGGGAGCACAAGCCATGCCGCTGCGCACGAGGCGAGCGCGAGGGTGGTAGGAATCAAGCCTTGCATTGTGTAGGGAGACGTTGGATCCAGCCACTGCTGCAAGCTGGGGATCACCGTCTGCTTTGTGTAGTTGGACGCCTCAGCGCTCATCTCCTTGACGCTTTCCCACAACTCTTTGCTGGTACTACTGATCACACTCGCCGGAACCTCGGGATCACTGGCAGCAGGAGTGTCGGGAGCTGAAGAAGCCGCAAAATGCCTCCGCTGCTCAATGCCCAGTAATCCAAAACTCCAAGGACTGACAATAGACAATCCAGAGCTGGCACCCAACACCCGTGGACTGGAACCCGGAAGCCCGAAACTTGGAGCCAATGATCTCGAGCTCTTGCGAAAACTACCGGAGATAGAAGAGGGCGATGGAGAACTGGCACCGCTTGTGACGTTGGAAAGATACCGCATCACTGCCGCGTGAAGCATTGTCCTCCTGCTCATAGCGGTGACCTGTCCTTTCGTCTGACACCCTAAAACCATGGCCCTCCGCCACTTGGCACCCTCGTTGTCATGCTCCAAAGGCACGAAGACCCTGAAAACTTGGAGAAGTGGTTCCTGTCGTCGATTCCCTGCTGCTGTGACGTCGGACCTTTAACTTGCAACCGTTTGTGGAGCTGGAGCACGGAGAGGAGGAGCCTCCAACATGAGAACCGGAGTTGCCGCTGCTGCCGCTGTTGATAGTGCTGCTTTCTTTTGCTGCGTCGAAGCCACAAGACCCGGCGGAACAATCTCAATTGCTGCCTTCTTCGTCGGCTCTGCCAGGTTTTCCAGCACCGCTTCCTTCTCCATGGAGAGCAGCTCGGTCGGGCGTATCTCCTGCTCCAGTTGTAGCATGCGGTTCCAGCGCTCAAGCAGTGACTTCAAGGACGGCCTTCCGTGAGCCTGTGAATGAAACCATAAGACATTTGGAATTTGTTGGAGGAGAGGCCAGTTACTTACATATGCGTGAAGTGTCGCTTCTGCGATCATGCCTGTCTCTTGCCATGCCTTTTCTGATATAGCAGGATCTCCTAGAAGTGCGGCTGCAATGGCTGCTTCCCGACCATGGCCTGCTCCCATCATGCTGTTCACCAGTAGCTGCATTGGCAAGGCGATCAGATATCGAGCAATAAAACCGAAAAGAAGTATAAAGCTTTACCGCTAAACGGGTCATCTCTCCGTGTGCAGCAAGCCTCAGAGACAGTGCTCGAAGAACGGTAGGATCTAGAGCACCTTCGACCGCACCAGCCACTGCCAGCTTCTTCAGCGCTTCAGTTGAGATCTCAGATTGTGCGGTGGCATCGGCGGCATCTACCAGCTCAAGAAACTCCTTAGAGAACTTCACAATGCCTTGTAAAGCGTCGCTTGTTTTCTCCTTCGTTGTCAAGGCGAGACTGACTGCATCAGCTTCTTGTCCAAGAGTTTTGCTATTGCTTAGCGTGACGAGGCATTGCAAAGCTCTCTTTAAATCCCCACTCTGCATCGCGAGCTCATACTCCAGCCTACAGAACAGGAACTCACTCAACAAAAGAACCAAATGTAAGTGCTAAACCTCTTCGAAATGCCCGGCAGATGTAAAGCTTCAGTAGCATATCCCATGCCTAGCATAAATTGAGCAAGGTCGTCATGGTGCTCTCGTCCAAGCCTGAAAGCCCTGCAAACATAAAATGCCGGTAAAGTAAGTACTATCATGCAGAAAAACGTACCATTTCACAGCGCTAACAGCGTCTCCGTGAGCAGCAAGACATCGGCAGCGGATACCAGGATGACTAAGCCATATCGCGTGGGCAACCATGAACCTGTAGGACAAGTGCACGTCCATACTCAAGTTACGCTCCGTTAAATGTATGCAATCCAGTTACCTGTCAACAATCCAAAGGACGCCATCTCGGACTCCCACCACCACCAGAGGTCCTACAGGACGCTTCTGCTCTATAGGTAATCTTGATACGGCTACAGCGACGCCACCTCCGCCTATCGCAACGTCTGCAACTTTCTTGTCTTCCAAATCCTTTTGGCTGCCGGTGGCCTCGACCTCCCCTTTGGTGTGCTTGGTGAATACAAACGGTGCAATCGAAGGAGCAGTGTGGAATGAAGCAAGTCGGACAACCTGCAAGAGAAATAAATTTAACGAGCAACTTAGGCCAACAATCAACGTACCTGTAACATAGGTGGTCGAAGAGCAATTCGATCCTGTGATGAAGATTTTGGAGCGTCCACTGTCAACAAAGCAAGCTCCCCGTGCTCTGCCGTGGAGGCTCCCTGAGCTGCACGATTTTTCATCTCTTCCTTCCTCTTCATTCTTTCAACATCAATGGCACTTACTCCCGCATCGACGAACACACACCTGCACGAAAAAAAAAATAAAAATAAAAGTCAGATGTGCATTCATAGAATACACAAACTGACTCGATAGTTGTTGGTGTAGCAATAAAAAGTTGCCGACGATGCCATACACCACCAGTGGCGCCTGCAATTGCTACATTACCGAGATAGCGATACTGAGGACGTAGAGACGAAATAACAACGTGACGTTGATATGCAAGAGCGCAATACTCCACAGTTTGATCCCAAGCAGACCACTCAGGCTGAGGGAGCATGCCGCTGATAGGCTTGAACGTCTCCCAGCTGAAAAGAGCGATGCATTGTTATACTAACTAAATACTAACACTGCAACCAGTACCTGTAAAGCACGAAATTTGCAGAAGTTTCTGCGATCGTTGTCCTTCCCATATCCTCAAGGGTAGAAAATGTCGATGAGCTAGGAACGATTGACATCCGAGGGAGCTTATAGGCTACACCCAATAATGCACCTCCTTGAAGTCCGATAACCTTGAAATTCAAAAAAGGCAATTGAGTTTTACGAGCTCGACGTGCATACAATACCTGTTCGGGTCTCCCTTCCAGGCTCTTCGTTAGGAGGTTTGGGCTTCCATCGTCCAGCAAAATTCGTATCTCAACTGTAGCAGCAGCTGCTGCACTTGCTGCAGCAGCGGCAGCAGCGGCCGCCTGCGCAGCTGCTTCTTTAGCCTTCTTTGATGATCCACCTTTTCCCAGAGGAAGTATTCTGGGGGCTGCAACAGCTTCCACAAGTGCGTATCTTTCTTTGCACGAGTCCCATGCAAAAAACCTTGCTTGACCCGAGTCTATCATCGCCCAGTCACTCACTCTGTAGACGGCGAAATATGGCACATCTGGCCACACAACCGAAACAAACCTGCACAAAGAGCATGTTAGCAATCCTACAAAAGTTTTAGAGCACGTACTTCCCAGAACTGCTTATACTAAGTTGTGAAAAGGTCTCATGAGGCACGGGGCAAACTCTGGTCCTCACTTGTTTGAGTATCTGAGGTGCCTCCCCGATGTCTGTCCTCGGCCGTCCGTCTGTTGCAGGAGATGAGAGTTGAAAAGAAAGCAGGTTGAGGTCCTTCTCAGCAGTATATACAACAGAATGTTCCTTGGTTCCAGGCACGGGTAGCAAGGCAGCTGCTGGTGGTATTGATTTCGCATCAAATTCGCTCAGAATAACTCCAATGTTTGTTCCTGTTGCAACGAAATGGGGTTGCAACGGGTGTACTGTCATGCAATATGCCTGCCAAAAAGCAAATAATTCATCGTAAGAACGTAAACACAAGACCATCACAAGGAAAACCTTAAGTTTCTTGGTAGCTGCTATAAATGCAGAGGGAACTTGTAAGCTCAAGTCACATAATGGTCGTGTCATGGCCATGTAAGTTGCATGCTCAATAGCCCTGCAGAAACAAAAACTTTGTAGACCAATAGACATACCAAAAGCACGTACCAAATATGTGAGTCCTTCACACAAGTCAGGATGTCCACGTTGGGGGCACGAGGATGGCACCAGGAGGCAACACTTTGACACGCAACTTTTGGAATGGGCTTGATTCTTCTTAGTTCCTGCAGCAATAACTTGAAAATTAATTTCCAAGAGCAACCGTTCTTACCTTGAAAGAAGTGATATCCCAGATGGCCAATGTTTTGTCAGCACCTATGGTTATAAGCTGAGGAGGTCCCCCTTGTATTTTTGCCATTTCCATACCGTGCACACCACCATCGTGAGCCTGTAGAGGGAACATGTAATATTCAGGAATGAACAATAAGCTCTAAGGGACTACCTTCAACGACAGCTTTGGAGAAATTTCTCGTAATGCCAGAGGATTGTCGCCATTCCATACAACAATAAAACCATCGGTAGCCCCAGACACCAAAAGCGTCTGGAATTCAGAGAGTTACGCTAAGCTCGGTATAAATCCAAGAGCTCTCAACATACCTCCCCACTAGACGTCATAAAAGTCATCAGACACACAACTGATCCCTTGTGGCCGCCAATATACTTTTGAGCCATCTGAAAAACAAACGAAACTACAACATGACAACGATACGAAGTAACTATAGTCCGGGAACCTGCCAATTTGTAAGAGACAGAAGGCGAATATTTCCGTCGGAGCCACCAAATGCCGCAAAAGTGCCATCTCCAGAAGTAAAGCGTGGAAGAAACTCGACACTGTCATCCCAAAACGACGCTAGATAAAAAGAACTGAAACTTGAAGCCATACCAAAGAGGAGCTTTGTTTTCCAGGATTTGTTTGGGAACGTCTCGAGCACGCATTGTGACCAGATCCAAGAAGATGGCTTTGTTTTCGCAGCAGATAACAAGGAAGCGCCGGCCTCGCGTGGAGCCAGAACTACCCGAAGAACCGGGTGGAGAAAACTGTGCTGGAGAGGATTGAGCGTCCACTGCTGCTGTTCGACTGATCCACCATTGCCAGAAGCGGACATCGTCATCGTAAAATCTGAGGTGCTTCACACTGCCAAGGAAATAAAGGAGAACACCATTAGAACCAAGTGTAAGCTGGTCACAGACTTGGGTACCTTCCTCCACGAATCGCCTCGGTAGGCTTGGATTTGGACTCTATGAAGAGAGGATAGAATGGATCAAGAGCAGCAGAAAATGCGAGAGCATCCTAAAATATTTACCCGACTCTCCCTCCGCAAGCTTCTGGAGCTGTGCTCCGACAAGGCGCTTGGCGTCCACACCCCCGGCATTGAGCTCATACAGGACCTAAAACCCCAGATCTGTGAGATTTCCCGAGCAGGAGCAGCTCACCTGACGATTCTCCCAGTCCCAGACGACGACGGCGTCGGATCCATCGGCAGCTGCGAGCCAGGGCTGCGTGGGATGGAATTGGATCTTCACGATCTTGTCGTTGCTGGGGCGGAACGCGCGTAGCCTCAGCATGATGAGAAGAAATAGAACTTTAGGGCTACGAAAATTTTTGGCGAGCGTTTTAACTTTTATGGCTTTCAGTAATAAAGGGTAAATGGGAAGCACTGGTGCCTCTTTTTGTTGCCCATAGCCTTGACATTTGTGATAACCGCTAAGACCTTGGCCTCTTTCACAATTATCAATTTGACCCCAAAACATTGGAGATGAATTCAAACATCTTTGTTTAGCAACGTGAAGCACCCTGCTGTTCCATTGAGTTGGGCGTATACACCTG